TCATTTTACCACTGAAGAGGAGTAATAACCTATTAATCTATTAATCTATTCAGTAAAATGTGTCTTCATACAACAGTTAGCACTAACACTTTGCCCAGCTGCATAAATTTACTGGATTAGCAATCCTTTGACAGCAGAATGCCCGGGGGGGGGTTTCAAGTCCCAAGTTCTAATACTTCCTTATTCAGCCATACAAGTCTTCATTTTACCACTGAAGAGGAGTAATAACCTATTAATCTATTAATCTATTCAGTAAAATGTGTCTTCATACAACAGTTAGCACTAACACTTTGCCCAGCTGCATAAATTTACTGGATTAGCAATCCTTTGACAGCAGAATGCCCGGGGGGGGGTGGGGGCGGGGTTAGCAATCCTTTGACAGCAGAATGCCCGGGGGGGGGGTGGGGGGCGGGGCGGGGAAGGATCTTTACTCATCTCTTAAGGTTAAAGTCTGTTTTGAAGGTTAAAGTCTGTTTTGTATTAATCTACACAGGAGCCTGAAACACCCATGCAACAAATCTTTAACTTGACCCTTCCAATCACACAAATCACTTAAACAGAATCCAAGTTTCCTAGTCCAAGAATACTTTATTAAATCCCATCCCATTCGAGTTGCACATGCACAATGGTACAGGGATTTTGTAGCTATGTTTCAACAAAATGCTTGCTCAGCCTCTTCACTGAAGAAGGTGGTGGCTTACAGTGATGGAAATGCCTCAAGATGGAAAATAAAGTCAGTAAAGAGACTAGGAGGTTTGTGACTATGTCAAGGCTCTGTGGGGAATCTGAAGGAGAACACATAACGAAATAGTAAGTCTCTCAATCATAAACTTAAAGGTTAATCCTCTGACTGTTTTAGAACAATGGGAATTTGCTTTGCCCACAGTTTGGAGGTTGCCGAGGCATCACATCTACATCCTTGGTTGTCTAGCAAGGTAAGCATGTTTGCTGACCGGAGCAGGACAGGGGCAGGAGAAGGCCGAGCTGTTACCTTGTCCTATTCATCCTATCTTACTGTGCAAGACTGTGCAATATGGTAAATAACTACACTTGGCCAAATACCAAAGGCAAGGTCCAGAGATGGCTTTTGAGAAATACCCTCTTCAGAGCAGCTGTCCTGGTTTCGGCTGGGATAAGGTTAAATTTCTTGCTAGTGCTGTGTTTTGGATTTAGTATGAGGAGAATGTTGATAACACACTGATGTTTTCAGTTGTTGCTAAGTACCCTCCTAGTCCAAGGACAGCTCCCATGCCTACTGACTGAGCTAGGTACACAAGGTGGGAGG